TTGTCTTTTTTTTTTTTTTTTTTTTTTTTTTTTGCGGTTTGTTTCGCAAAGTGTGCTCTTTTAGTTCATCGTTATGTGACAATATATAGCCCGGGTTCCAAAGCCAACAAACTGGTTGTCTCCAATCTACAAGCAAGGAATGAATTCTCTGCATCAAATAGCCTGGCTGTATATAACCTTTTTTTTTTCCTTTTTTTCCTTTTTTTTTTCTTTTTGTTTTGTGGAGGTGCCGGGTATCAAACAGTCTGCCAAAATTAAAATTTTGGCGAAATACCTGAAAGCCTTTCCTGTGGTCAAGCGATCAATGTGTGCCTAGTAACCAGCCTCTACTACACCCTGCACTTTCATATTATTAAAAAAAAACAAAAAAAAAAAACACGCCGGCCTTCTTTGGCTGGACTTCATGCTCAATGTTCCAAGCAGCAAGTGGTGCAGAGTAAGAGCCTAAGAGGGGTATGACAATCAGAAATCAGCTTATTCTGTGACCCCTGTCACCCTCTGGCAATTGAAGATACACCTCTCATTTATGGTGGGAATGATGCTCTTCTTTTACAGCTTTCTGGTGTTGGTGGAGAAAGCTATGGTCGCTAGCCTACCCAGCAGACTCTCGTGGACTCTCGTGTGGAGCAAGGAGACAGTCCTGACTGCCAATAAGTAAAGGTACCTACCACTATGGCAGTTCGTCCTGCCGAAGTGGCAAGAGCACTACCCTCTTTGGCTGATATGGAGAAAACGGAATGCCCCCTCCGTTTTGAAGGTCGTGAATGCGCCCTCCGTTTTGAAGGTCGTGAATGCCCCCTCCGTTTGTTCTTCCCTGAAATATCTAATAATAGTAATAAAGTAATAATGCTCTCAGAACTCAAATCACAATGCAAGCAGACTGGCGGCGCAGCTGCAGATCAAGGACGTCAGACTCTGTCAGAGTCACAGACGACGTCACCGCCTCCTTTGGGAAACTATGGGGTCCCCCTTTCTGTTGGGCAGCTCCCTCTATTAAAGGGGAGCTGATTTTCAAACAACCTATACTCCTCTCAAGCACCAAGTCACCCACCCTTTGCATAATCTTGGACTTAAGACCTTATTTTAATAATTTATTATTGTTTTTTTCCCCCCCCCCTT